GAACATCCCCGGAGGCACCATTACACTTTTCCTTCTTCCACACATCAATTTACATCTTGTTTTACACCACCATTAGAGATGCTGTAAGGATGGGATTTGAATTGAAACAAGACCATTTTAAGCAAAAAAGAACATTATTATCTGTAATTTTTCAGGGGCGTGTTTGTCTAAATCTTCAAATTTGGCCATAAATGTAGATGTTTCGATTTTTTGGGCCATTTTTCCAAAATGGGATGTCAAAATTGGACATTTATTCCAAATTCCTCTTGATTTAATTTTGCTTTGGTACCCGTTAGTTTCCATGTATAATTGCTATCGAATATTAGCATATTATTCAGGTTTTGGAACCAGTTCACCCGATCTACGTTTGTTTTTGGCTTAATTTTTTTTAGAAGTTTTTTTTTAAAGAGAGGTGGATCATTTAAATATATTTGAAAACGAGAGGCAACTCAGGCAAGAAAAACGTGGAAAAAAACAAGCCAACATATCTATACAGGTTGTCACCTTGAAGTACTGTTTTCAGCCTCTTTCTTGGGCATTGAAACTATGCCTAGTCTCCAGTTAAAAGTTAACAGTCAATAAAGAATTTTGGTACTGCCTTGTCTTTCAAGAAGCTCTACCTGTATTCACATGAGAGGCAATAACATTAAAATCAGGAGCATTAAGTAGTGCCGGGCGCAAGGGTGTTCGAAGGCCGACTAACGCCACCCCCTTTGACGGATATGTTTGGAGTCCTGATCGAACTGGCCCGACTTACAAGATTTGAGTCAAGAAAAACAACGATAACCGTGATGTCATCATGGAAATGCCTTCGAACACTCCGGTCAATCTTCTTCAAGTCCGAGTACCTCATCTCCCTCTTCTTTGCTGCTGCTTGCAATGCGGCTTTCACTAATCTCCTAGCACTTCCCTGCACAAGTACCAAAAACATAATCTTTTGGAGAGGAAACAAGGAAACAAAACATGGTATAAAAAGCCATGAGAAACTTCTTTTCTTTAGTCGTTTTCCAAATATGGCAATAAAATGCAGCGTGCTACTCTTCAAATTAGGGAAGTGATAACATTTAAAACATTGAATATCTTACACTGCGTGGATGATTTTGAACTACATTAACTGCATCTTGATTGGTAAGGTGCTCCCAAAGGCCATCTGATGCGAATATTATAAACCGGTCGTGAGGTAGCAATTGCTGCGTAGAAATTGATGGTTCCGAGCTCAAAATTGGCCTTTTAAAAGGTTCACGAAGTCGGAACTTTGCATATAATGGCTCCCTGTTGAATTCAGTCTTTTTCAAATACACATCACCGATGGATCTTGAAATCTGTAAGCCAAAAAAGGCTAGTCATAAGGCAGATCAAATTTAATGTGTGCCACAACTCAACAAAATCATACAGAACATTCTTTCCCTTCATAATTTTATTTTCATTCTATTTTTTTTTTTTTTTTTTAACTTTTTGAGCAACAGATATCAGAAAAGTCAGTCTGAAGGGCCTGAAATTTGGCAATAGCCAATATGTAGCGTACAAGAATTGAAATCCAACTCAGAGTGAGATATGCACTAGATATATTTATAAGCTGTACTTCTATCAGTTCGTCTCAGAAGAAATATGGGAAAGTCAAATCATCTTCCAGAGAGGAAAGATAAGACTTGCTGAAAACCGCTATTTAATTTAGTGCTTATAAGTTGTATGTCTTACGAAATGTATGGATAATAAGTGGATGGTAAGTTGTGGATCCTACAAATTATGGATAAAAAATACGTTTGACTAGCTTAAATTATAACTACAATTACAGGAGGAAGAAAAAGGAACAGTCCATGAAAATATGTTCTATATGGATGCACTAAAAGGCAGCCAAGAATGTGTAAGACAAATTTTGGCTGTAGTTATTGGCACACATTTCATTGGTATAGATCTGAAGAGTAGCATGATCCTTTTGGATATAGATAAAAACCATATTGCCAGAGAATTTTATGATATTCTCGTGAACAGTATCATTTAGCAACAATTGAAAGAAATTGATTATAACATTGCCTTGCAAACTAGCTCCATCTAAAACAAGCTTGTATTGTTGACGGTAATGGATCGACAATTACTGGGTATGTGAGCCAACTAATATAGGGGTAGAAAGATGAAAAGGCTTCAATTTTTCTGCTACAGTCCAACTAGTTTGAGAACCAATGATTGCATAATAGCAAGATCAATATCAAACCGCAAATTTGACTGATATTATTACTTCCATTCGAGATTTTTCCAGCCCCTCAACTTGAAGCATTGTGCCTATCTTTTATTGAAGTTAAAGTACATAGCTAAAAAAAATTTAACATGTAACGAGGCAATTTTGAAGCATCACACGGGGAAAAATGACAGATCAGCAGATAGCAACAACAACCAGAAAGAAAGACAAAAAACCAACCTGTATAATGCCCTTCACACGCCACACATCATGCTTTAGAACAACAATTTGGGAGTCATCAGGGTGCAGAGATTTCAGTTCCTGTCTAACAGATTCAATACTCGCATTATGCTCTGAAGAGAGCTGAATAGATAGTACTTCCCCTGTTGACTTAACAAGTCTCCCTAAAACAGCACGGGAATCACCGAGATTGGCAATATAGAGTGTTCCATTGCAGATAACTCCAACAAGGCAACACGAACCAACTGCTGCAATCTGTGGATTCATTGACCATTGTCTACTGACAAGTGAGAAAAAGCCATCTTCTGTCGCTTGAAATGCCCTCCGTATTACCTCCACTGACATAGACTGATGCTCTGCAGTAAACGCTGCAAAATTGGGAATTAGCAGTTGACCTCAAGGCTCCAAAATCAGTAAAAAGTTAATTTACACAGCCAAGTGAAAAATCACAAGGGATTAGTCTTCCTCATAATCTATGCTGTTCTTATTAGGTCTTCGCATTCAGAACTAAACATTACCAAGAACTTCACGAAATTAAGTGCTCAAAATTTGCAAGTAATACACTTTTCACAGGTTTACTTCACAAGGGTAAGCAACAGGCAACAGCTCTAGGTAATATACATGCCAGATCAGATGCTCTATTCTAATGTGTTCCAGTATCTTTTTTTCTTGATAAAACCATTAAGACATTGAAGATAACAGCAAGTCTGAATCCTAAAGAGAACATGGTAGACTTACTCTTGAGGTGTCGAAAGAGGTGTTCGTTAATGAACCTAGAAGTCTCTGGGCCACCATGTCCATCGTAAATCGCCACGAAAGTACCATACGGCCCAGAATCGTGCAAGCTCAAACAACCAGATTCGAGTTGGCTCTGATCCTCAAGCAAATTATTAGCTTGAACTACAGCCATTGAAAATTCTCCATTAAAATGTTTCCCTGTATCCTTGTACCACAGAAGCCCATCTTGACGTCCTCCAGCATCAGAACCCGGGGGAGCATATCGATCCGCCCTCGGCCGAAAACAGGCCCTCAAAAATTTCATTAACCCCGATAACATACCTCATCTCATCCGAACCACCCTCCAAATTATGCACATCTAACGAGGACTCAATGTAACTCAGACCCAAATAAATATCAATGTGCAATCACTTATTAAACTGTCAATTCCTCCTCAAGAAAGAGAAACTATATGCAGTACAAATTTAGATGAGGAAAAACAACAAACATAAAGCAAGCAAAATAAGAACTTGAACAAAACAAAACAACTCTACAAAATAAATCCGGACAAGTATATATATAAAGGCACAAAGTTTATGTTTAATTCAGCTCGGAATTGTTGCAGGCTACCAAGAATAAAGGTCTTCCAATATGAAGCAGATCTCTGACTGAAATATTAAGTTCGTTCAAAGTTCAACACCAAGAAAAAGGGGCAGAAGGCTTTGAAAAGTAAAAACAAGAGTGGTCAAAAGTTACATTTTCTTCATA